GTAGCCTCTGACCATGGGTCATTTTCAGGGATCAGATCTACTTTTTCACACATTACAGCTTCCCATAAAAGTCTTCACCTACTGAGCTAGTAACAACCAACTTGCTAGTGCAGAAAGATGTTGTCTAACTTACAGTTGCATTCTACTCCTTTTATCTTCTTGAAAACAGAGGACAGAAACATACACCTTTATTCTACTCATCTATGCCTTTCTAATCAAGTTTACCTTCTGCATTGGTGTCTTCAAATAAAAGAACAGAAAGAGGAGGTACTGCAGCAATTTTTAACACTTCATTGGTAGTCAATTTAATTTGTACTGAGTACTAATGTTGAAGATTTTTCAAACAGTCATCAAGAGATGGTCCGATCCTGATACCTGCACAAAGGCATTTGAAACTCAGCTCACTGTCCCACATATAGGTGTCTAGTGCTGCTTGAGGTGTCTTGGGTGAAGAGAGAAATCCCAAGGCTGGTGACAAAGAACCTATGGAAGATTTGAGCCTCTCTGAAGCAGAAACTGGGAATATCAAAGGTGTTTAGATACTTCTAATGCGAAACTCAGTTGACTGTTCAGTGTTTGTAGAGAAGCAAAAGTGATACGAGTTTTCTCCAGTTGTAAAGTGCAGAGACAACCTTATTTCTTAATTGATGTGATCTGTGTATGATGACAGGCTGTTTTGCTCCCTCCTAATTGTTTTAGCATTTAATTGCAATGCATAAGCACTTCTTTCAATAGCAGATTTTAGATTGCTCTAAACAAGTTAATTATATTTCACAACACCCTTGTGCATTAGGGATGTATTAATATTCCTGTTTTCCAGTCTAGGAAAAAGGGAAGACAAAAAAGGATAAGTGGCTTCCTGAAGGTTAAACAGTAAGTCAGTAGCAAAATTTGAAGAGGAACTCCAGACTCTCAACCACAGTTTGAATTTCCCACAGACCATTGAAACTTTAAAATTACATATTTATTACCATCCTTGCATTTAGCATGGGAGTTAAACTGCAAACAGTGCATTTGTGAACAGACGCAGGAACTTGAATTAAAACTCCAGAGTTAGAAAACTTTAGTGTTGAGGTAAACATTGAGCTGGATATCCAAAAAGCTCTAACAATCCATATCACTGCAATGAAACTGAAACTGGAGGCACAAAGGAACATGCAAGACTGAATTCCATTTGCTTCCTGATAAGAGCATCACAAGATATCCTTCCCTTGAAAAAGGGGAAAAAATGAAAAAATCTTACCCTCACCCTGAAAGACAGTCACACTTGGGGATAATTTCTAAGCATATTTGAAACTGTCTCATCTATTTATTTTTTCTTTTTTCCACAAAGAAACATCAATTTGAAGCAGAAAATTTTTAGGAAAAAAGTTGATATTTCTGTAACATCCAGATGTCTCAGACAGGATGAGGGACACACTCTGTTTTAGGAACTATGTAAAAGATATATACAAAGACATTATGAGCTAATTCAAGCAAAGAAAACAGGTGTGTGTAACGAGCAGCAGAAGGACTGAAAGAAATGAGAGATATGAACAACAATTGTAAGAATTAAAGTCTTCATATGCTGCTAAAAATCCAGTCTTATATTCTGGAAGGTATAGATGAGAGGTTATATGAAGTATGAAACTGAAAATATGGCATTTCAGTTATTACTGCTTTACCTGAATTGCACCAAATGTGAGAAGTGACAATAAGAGATTGGCAGATCAAATGTTTTCTGATTGAGTACATACCTACTGATTCCACCAGTAACACACAATAGCAAGCTTGTTTTGTGTTAAAACGTAAGGCCAGGTACTGTGATATCCTTTACTCCAACTCAACATGTCCAGTGCTCCCTAAAACATTCTTGAAGTACCTGACTGGGGTTTTTTTAGTCATTTCTTACCCTATTCATTCACTGAATATAAATTGCATGGGTTATAATCAATATATATCAAATTCTACGGCATATTTCACATTGGATTGTTAAGACCAAGTCCCAACGACTTTTGTGATTGAGTTTGATCTGTTTGTTAAGGGGTTCATATAGTTTGATTGCCTGATGTACTATTGGGACTTCACCGGAGGAATCTGGACCTTATACACTTCCAGACTTATAAAATATTTGGTTTATCTAGAAAACACACTCAGCATTTACATGTAACACAGAGATATACTTTATGCCCAAGACACACAAAGATAATACACAACATGCTAAAATCACAGTTTCGTCTCCAAGCCCTGCTTGTACCAGTTTAATGGCTAAAAATTCAGTCTCCCATTATCTGTCTGTCAGACCATTCTTCATGTCAATCATATTCTTTTAAACATCTTCTCTGCACAAAGTCTTTCTATGGTATATTGATCTTCACTGATGCAAACTGAGAATACCAGTTCTATGCCAGATGAAAGTTACCAGCAGCCTCTAATCTATTTATCTATTTAAATATTTATAGTTTAGTCAGCATTATAGAGTTGAGCATTAATTCATTTCAATGACTATCATTCTGACCTGGGTTCAAATCAGCAATATCATCAATTCCAAGCCAGCCATATTTCCACAAAAAGGGTCCCAGGCTTTAGAAATGTGTATTGTTTCTAGAAAATATTGCCTGGAATAATCATTTCTAAACAGTCTTTGAGATGCCATAGCTCTCACTTATGTCCTTGAGCTGCTAGCTTGCTCGCCAGGAGCATCAGCTGATCTATTCCAAGTACTGTTAGCACAAGTTATCACAATTCCTATTAGACAAAACTATGGAAACTGCATGTTCTCTGGCTGACAACCAGAACAGTGCACAATCATAAAATACACTCTGAAACGGGCCTGGTATTAGAGTGTGAATACTAACTGGACATGAGCTGTGCTCTAATACTTAGGACTCTTTGCATCCCTTCACTACCAACTTTCTATACGTTGATCTTTGTAGCTGAGAAAAGCTACTTCAGCTCTTAACTCCAGAGATTCCACATAGGATGCAAAATACATCATTCTTGTACATGCAGAGAACAGACTATGTATGCAATTGTAAAATAAATTAATTTTAGAGCTTTTAGTTATATCACATAGATCATGGCTAACATTTGTATCACATAAATATATTTTTGTTTCAAAAATAATCGAACTCTGATCTACCTTTCCTTCTATACACATAATTCTTCAGTGGGACTATGTGAGTAAAATGTCACACCACTGTTCCTCTGTTGTTTAAAGGATTGGGACTTAGACAGCTTTTCCTTACCAAACTGCCTTTTTTCCATTCCATCAAATTTTGTCAATTTTCTCAGTCTCTTGGAGAATTAGAAAATAACTTTTTTTCCTTCCTCCTTGGCAATACATCAGCTTCCTTTCTGTCTGCCTAACGAAGTCAGTACACTGAGGGGAAATAACTGGTAGGATTCTGAAGTTATTAGCAGGCATTCATCTTGGTGGAGAGGAAACCTGCTGGGTTTGGGTTCTTTTAACTGCTACAGTATTCTATGGTTTTGTCACATCAGTAAATTGTGGCCAACCACCTGTTGGATCCATATGCTTTAAAGCTGATTGCCAAGCAAAGGATCTGCACACAGAATGTCATCCATACATCCTCCTGTGTGCCTTGTCAGAGGAAAGAAGGAAAGAGATTTTTGCATTAAAAGACATTTTGTAATTAATAAAATGGATTTAATTTGAAATGCAGTAAACACAAATTTAGAAAAGTACCTGAGTAGAGCATGTTTTCACCACAAATAATTTAGACCCTAGGATAAGGAATATACTATTATTTAAATAATCAAATCTCTGTTAGCATTACTATCCATGTGCTCATTAGGAAGATGAGGGTGGAGGAAGCTGATGTGTTGATTTCAGCCGTCACCTAATTAATGATGTACTAAGGCTTAAACTAAACCTGAATTGTGTGTACAGCAGATTGTTCTACTGTATCCCTTCTATAACATGAGAAACTGTTTCTAATGTTTCATTTTGTAAATGTGAGGGCATGGAGGATGACAGGCAAATTGACCACTAAAACCAAACCTGTGGAATAAAGAGGAACAATCAAAGCTCATGTTATCACTTCATAATTCCTGCAAGCACTGCTGTACAGAACTGGCTGCCCGCAGCTCTGCTGCAAACCTGAGCAATGGCTTCAAGTTGTTCTGCTCCTGTACCAATGCACAGAAGTATGACACACCAGTGTACAAATTACCAAGAATATTTTTTCAGTCACTTCTGTAGGATGCAGATGAACCTCCTCCCCATGTCAGGCAAGGAGAGTATTTGACTATGGTTTATTTTTAAATACTACTTGGATCATCTTATTGAAAACCACTGCACTGGCATAAATCTCATTCCACCATCACACAAACACATTCCCTAAGATTGAGTCCAAACGTACCTATGTAGTTAATCAAACTATCCACTTGGGCTGATCAGTTGTTAATAGGACATAGTAAAGAGTGTAAAGGTCCCTTTGGGCTCCCTTATTTAATGTGTCATTTCATACCATCCAGACTAAAGGTCTATCCACACTAAAGGTTATATTGCTGCGGCATTCTGCTCCTGCCAACAAACATGTGCCATCGAGGAGCTCTGAACAAGCACTCACATCTGTGTCCACTCCTGTACCACCCATTTAGCAGAGACAATGATCACTAGAAACAACAAAGGAGCCACTGATAAAACAAACAATGCTGTGAGCCAGAGATCACTGCCATGCCAGCCAAGTTTGCCTTTAAAATACTCAAGAAAAAGGGAGAGGGGGAGGCAAGAGAGATATCAAATATGAAACTGTAAAACTTACACCTAGAAGAGGTTTTAGCCATGCAGCCACCCAACCCCATGACTGATTAGCATTTTCTAGTGCACTGCTATAGGATTGAGCAAGAAAGACTGAGCAGTGTTCATGGGAAGCAGACAAACATCCAACGCCTCCTCCCATTTGGAGTCACATAGTCTCCTACGAGTCAACAGACACAAGGAATAATAATAATTGTTATTACAGTAGTAATGATAATAATAGAGAATCACCAACCTTGAGGATCCCAGTTCACCTGTTTTCTTGGAGTCTCAATTGGAAATTTCATCGCTTCCTTTTTGCAAAGGGAGTAAAAAGAATTAAATAAATTCCCAACCTTCCTGTCTCGATGCTGCAGTCAAACAAATTAATTTCAAATTATAGGGAGCCTGCGCTGTTTGACAGAGGGAAACTGGTGGTTGCCAAGGAAAGAAATACACAAATAAATTGAAAAGGTGGGGAGGGGCGGAAAGGGGAGTGGAGTGGTTTGCAGGCACCCCAACACAGAGAGGAGTATAAGGGATGGACTGAGGACCGGAGAGAATCCGGAGGAGCAGGAACGGAGCAGACTGAGGCAGGCAGCGGGTCCAGGGTGCTGCTGGCTCCTGGGGAGGCTCCCGCAGCTGTTTCGCCCCGTCCACCTGCAGATGTCAGGGTGGCGGGGTCCCCGCTGCAGCGCGGCCCCTCCGCTGCGCCCACCCGAGGGGGACCCGGGCTGCAGACAACGCAGACTTGCAAGGATCGGGGAGTCGTCCAGCCCCCCACGCCCCCAGAGACACCTCCCACACGTGCACAAGCTCCCTAGCCTCAGCCGTCCCCCAAAAATGAGCGCACCTCAGCTCAGCCCCGGGCACTAGAGAGGCAGCAAAAGTCAGCCATGGGGCGTGAGCCGCAGCAGCATGGCTGGGGCGAGGCAGGGGCGAGGCTGGGGACCACCCCGGCTCAATGCAGCAGCAGCCTGGCTCGCCCAGGAGAGCCGGAGCAGGAAGAAGAGAAGGAGGAGGAGGGAGCCACCCTATAGCTTTGGAGGGAATTAACGGAGCCCCTCTCTGCACTGGCATAAAAAGGGGGTGGGGAGAGCCTGCGAGTCCCTTTGTAAGAGGCAGTGGCGGGGTGCTTAGGGAGGGGGCAGGCTCCGGCTGGTACTCACGAGGTATCCTTCCCGAGAGGGGAATGCAGGCTTGTTTGGCGGAGTTTGCAGCCGGAGACACGCTCGACTAAGCTACGAGCAGCAATAGCGGCGGCGGCAGCACATGGCAGGAGTACGGCAGCATCCATAGGCTCTGCAGAGCAGGGGGAGGGGAAGGGCAGGGGATCGTCCGAGTCCCCGCAGGCTCTGGGGACCAGGACCGGGTACCTAGAAAGCCAGGGGACCCCTGCCCCCCTTTCTGTCCCGATGCGCACTGTGGACAGGGACAGACACTTCGCGACAAGGCAGTGCCTGGCACAGCGGGGCTGTAAGATGTGGCCAAGCTGCAGGGAGGGGGCAGGAGGCTGGAGGCTCCTCGAAGCCCCTCTAAGCTCTCAAGGGCCTTCGGGAAAACGGAGGACACTTGTGCAATTACCAGGCACCTGCTTCTTTCCAGATCTGCACTCTCCCTCCTCTTCCTCCTTCTCCAGGCTTTCCCTCAAACCCAAAACAGGCTAGTAACACCAGAAAGGTCTCCAGTTCCAGTTACAATACATGCCCCAGCTCCCCTCCCTTAGCCAGGAAAACAAAACCCCAGCCCCTCTGGGGGCCTGAAAGAAAACTGTGTGAGGTTAACCCTGTCCTGCCTATTCTCTTCCACAGTGGAAATCAACTCTTTGTGTGAAGGGGATCATCCACAGGGGATGGTTTAGTGGAGAGATCCACAAATTCTCATATGTCATGGTCAAAGACCCATACCAGAATCAGTCCAGAGGCCCGTAGAATTCTGAATTTTCAGGAAATGTGATTGGGATCTAAACTTGTTACATGTGATAATTTGTGCCCTGAATTTTCCCTTACTTTTTTTCTCAACTGCCCTTGTTCTGTTTTTCTTTTCTATCTGTTGCTTGAATGCTAGGTAGCTTTGTAGGACCAAAAAGGAGAAATCTGCCCTGGTGAAGAAAAAAAAAAACCAAACCCAAAACAGTCCAAAATGTGTGACTCTCCTCAGGAAACTCTGACTGTGAAGGTTGGCACACTCTTTTCACATTCACATTGTGAAACTAAATCCGTGCTTTTTCCCAGTCTTTGTTCAACCCTAAACAGGAAGAGGAAATCAGTACTGGGGAATCCACACTTTCTTTTAGTGGTGGTGTGCAAGGTCCTGTAAAGCAGCATGTAGTTTGAAGAAACTAGATGGAAGTAATGCAGCAAGTTTTCTCAGGGGAGGTGCTTTCCCTAATCTGAGCACCCCTGTCGCTCTTGTTTTGTGCTGTACAGGAGGAGGAGGGAGAGGCTGCTCTAAGGGAGGACATGGTGAGAATGATAATGAGCCTGCTCAGTCAGACTTGAATTTGAGATGATTGCAATGATGACATCAGGAGCACAAGGTATTTCCTTTGCAAGCAAATCATGATGCATTCTGAACACACTTTGGGATTTCTGTTGACATTACTTCTGCAAACTGAGTGGGAACAAAAGTGAGGGTAGGCTTTGCTAATTGTGCTGTGTAGTTGCTTGAGTTATGGTTACAGTAACCTAAAAGGCTTCAGAAGCTTTCTGAACCCCCAACAAGAGCAGTTATCAAATATGTATCGATTCATGTATTTATACACACTCATGTATAATATAAATCTGTGTGAAAATATATTTTCCTTGGCATGCAGAAGTTTCCAGCTTACTGGCATCTTCCTTGTACATTACAGGGAAAACCTAACATATAGACAAATATGACTCAATTGTGTCACCCTAATCCAAGCACTACTGTGCCTCTGCCATAACTATCAGCAGTTAACTGATGAAGTGTCTATTCTGCCACAGACACCTGTCCACTGAGAGCTCACCTAAGATAATCAAACTGAAACAGTCCACTGATAAGCTGACAACATTAAATTCCTGCTAAGAAAGAAGTCTATAATCTGGAAGTGAATTCTTCAGGTTCATTACCAGAAACACATCCTGATTGTTACTGTCTAAAGATGAGGAATTGTTGTGAAAATTACATGATGGAGATATCTCACATTTGTTTAACTTACTGTAACACTACATAGATAATAATGACACAATACCATATTCATGTTTCTTGTGTCCCCTTAATGTTCCCATACTCCCAAAAAAGTCTGTAAGCTCCACATACTTGCTCTAGCTGTATGACTGAGAAACCTTGTGGCAAATCAGTTGTGGTATATCAGGTACATAAATGCATGACATCATGTAATTGTTTTGTGATTTTTTTTAACCATGTTATGATCATGGAAAACTTGCTCCATTATTTCAATGCCTCAAACCTGCAATTTTATTGAGTGGGCCAATTTATTCCCAAAGTAACTCATTTAAAATCAATGGGGTTACTCCAGAGATAGATTTGGCATCTTTCACTAACAGCACAGCTGCTGCATAGAAACATAACTATTATCTTATGCAAATAAAAGACCTTTCACCTCTCAGTGATGTCATATTCTTATGACAGGGAGAACTGGTGCCTTGAAGCTATAGTATTTCAAGCTGTTACTCTCTCAACTTTTATAAGCTAAGTGGATTCAGTAATGTTTAATGTTTAAATGAAAGATCACTAAGAAAAAGAAACCTATTTTAGTACAGGAAGAAGAATTTTCAGGATTTCACCGGTCTTCCTAAATTCTTAAAACTTATTCAGGGTTTATTGTTCAGACTTAATGTCCTCAGAGCTGAAGTTAGTTGAGAATCAGTGTCTTACAGGACAGTCATAGAAAAAAGGCTTTCTATTACAAGCCATTCATTGGAAAAAAATAATAAAATGCTAAGTGCCCTTTTAGTGTTCATTAGTAATATGGCATGAGTGATTTAGAAGTGAATTTGATGTAATTCAAAGAAAGCCATAGAAAAAAAGATTAATAAATACCTCTTATACCTACTTAAATCTAGTGAGTAGGAATGGAAAAATTACTTGATCCTTGATAGCAGATAGAAATCATCTATCTTGTATGTAACTTGTATGTTCCCTTTCTTAGATGCTCTGAAGAAATGTAACAGGGCTAGATGGAAGTCTAGACAGTCTTTGTGTCATCACTTAACAATGTACTCATTTGTGTATGTAACTATTCCGTTTATGGTTAACTATATAGTTGTTTGAAATCTGGTATTTCTAATTGTGAAGATTATTCTTCATTCAGTTTATTGCCACAGGAGTGCTGGTATTTACACTGGGACCAAGAGAGCAACTAAAGTGAATTGCATCCTGTTCTTTATATTCTATTGACCCATTCTGCAGTAGTATTAATTTGGACATGATCCAGTGCAGAATCCTTTTATAATTTCTTTATACTCTAGGAAGCTTTCTGTCAAGGAGAACATTTAAAGCCTTCTCTTTAGCATAACGAGAAAACTTCTTGTTCAAATAGTTTTCAGAAGGCTTAGTGTCGTTAGGAATCAGAGAGTTAATGACGAATGAGCAATGTGCAAGAAAGGGCCACCTGTTATTTTTATTGTCTTCTATTGCATGGAGTTTCTTATCACTTTTTAAGTTATAGCTTGCAGTGCCATGTTTTCCTTATTTAATTGATTAATCCACAGAACAGGAAATTTACTGACTGGCAGAAATGGTTTCAGTGAGAACAGTGAATCTGCCTGAGGCAATTGCACATCAGCAATAAACTATGCTGGGATGGTACCACAGTCTGTCTGCAGTTCCTTTGACCAGTGACACTAAACAGAATACACTATGATCCTGCCTCTCACATCCTAACACATCAATCATCTAAGTGCCAGAAGAGGACAGGGGGTACCTGTTCACAGTTTGTTATCATCTTCACCATTCTTGGCTCTTTTCTGCTACTCATTCTTCATTAGCCAGACTCCAGTTTTCAGACACCTTTTATATCAGTCCCTTTGCATGGCCAGCAGGGAGTATAGTGCAGTAGTTCCCTCACTTTTCTGTTCTATTTGAAAAAGTACATGCACATTATTAGTGTATTAGTATATTGTAGATTTTTTGGTTTTTTGCTGTGTAAGAAAATATTAACTAAAGCTGCAGAGTACAGAGTCTGTCTGAACCCAATTACATCTGTTTCACATTAGTTTAATTTGACTTCAGTTCAATTACTCCTGCATCATACCCATGAGAGAATTACAATCTGGCTCTCAGTTTTTCCACGACGTCCCTGAAGAATGCTCATAAGATCAAAGGCC